ACATACCTGATCTAACGGTGCAGATGGTTTTCTTGACAGTTTTCATGAAAATTCTTATTTTAATATATCAGATAAGTATTAGCTTCTTATATAATGTATCATCTTAATTTATGCCTCTCCACCCAAACTCCACAGATATCAACTTGAGAAAAAACAAAAATTGTAAAAACTTCAAACTTTGGTGTATCTCAACCAAAATTTTCTTCTTCACCTAAACTTAAAGCTTGTATCAATTATACAATTATTCTATAACTTTATTACATGTTTTCGTTCATTAGAGTTAATATATTTACAATAGTGCTCAATAAAACTCCATTAGCATATGTGATTTGTTTATTAATTTAGAGTAATTAAATTTAATGTATTTACAGTGATGCTCAATCAAACACCATTAGAGTATATGATTTGCTCAATAAAACTTCGTTAGAGTGTATACTTTGTTTATAGGTGTAGAGTAATATAATATTTTTACAATGATATTATTTTCACATTTTCACATTTCATTTTTATTTTGTTTGTTCATTGAAGGTGCACTCAAAAGAAAGAAAGTCATTCATATACTTTTAATGAAAAACTCTATTCAAAAAAAAAAAAAAAAGAAGTATTACACATGTGAAATTAATTTGGAATTTAGTTAAGGATTAAATTTGGAATAGCTTTAGTAATGAGTTTTGCAGAAATTGATACTTATATATTAATACTTAGAATTTGATCTAGAGTAAGTTCCCCACATTACAATTTGAATTATATATATTTATTTATTTTTTTTTTGAATATTTCATTTGATGAGACTTAAAGCTTGATTTGATTGGATTATATATATATTTTGAATAAAACTACGAGTACTTTTTTTGAACATTGAAAATTAGCCTACCAAATATGTTATTAAGGCCTCCCGTGCCTAAGGTTTTTAAAGTAATTTTTAGTTTTAAAAAAAATCATTTTGTCATTATTCAAATATCAAAAAGTCAAAAAAAAAAAATTTCATAAACCATGCTATAAAGTGAAAATTTTAAAAATTGTCACAGTTTAGTCCCCACCCAAAAAGAAAATCTTATTCCTTTTATTCCCTGACTTAATTCATCATGATGATTTTTTTTTCAAAATCTTTTTAAAAAAAAAAAAAAATTGGGTAGTTTAAGTTACACAAAATTAAAAATAAAATTTTCATTCATTGTTGTTTTATTTTTGATGTATTACATGTAATCTCAAGCCAAGGGCTTAAACTGTAAATGAGTTAGCACTCTTTTGTTGTAACCAAGTGTTAACTTGGAAAGCTGTAAGCCCGTAGGGCATTTGCTTTTGTTGTTAACATGTAATACTCTTGTAAGAAACTACTCTGATGAATAGAAGAATGTTTATCCTTATTACCAATTCATGTCTTTATTGATGGGTTTAATGTTATTATTTTGAGGGCGTTACATAATTGATCTCGGTAGATTAATAATAACCTTTAAAACCCTGGTATTAATTATTGGACCCTATAATTATAGATTAATTACTTTAAAATCTTAATTAATGTCGTTTCGTTTGGTTTTTTGCATTTCTTTGCGTTTTAATTTAATGGAATCCCTAAAAGCTTTGAGGAACCATGGCTGCCTTAGATATTAGATTTTATATTTCCTGTATTTTGGATAATCTTTTTGTATCAAGAAACTGATCTGTATTTAAAGGCTAGAAGAATTTTATCTATCACTATTATTAATATTTTTTTTTAGTGTAATTATTTGTATTTTGTGCTTAAAAGTGTTGTGTATCCGCTAGTTAAATCCTAATGTATCATTGTATTATATTATCGATGTTCCCAAAATTTGGGATGTCACAGATGGATGGTTCTAGCTCAAACACTTCTCTTCTTAAGCATCACAAATGTTTACCTTTCCCACCAACCCACGTCCGCCTTTCCACACTCTCTCTCTCTATTTAAACATTTTTTCCCCTCTCTTTCTAACCATTTCTCTCTCTGGCTTCATCAGAGCTCACTCTGACTGTCGACTTCACTCTGGTAACTCAGTTACGACATCACTCCAACCATTCTGACTGCTTTATTGCAACATTCCTGGGTTTGATTGGTGTAATCTGGATTTGATCTTTTTACATTGATTCCAAAATGGGTGTGATATATTTTTTTTCCTCTCTCTCTGTTCTTTTTCTTGATATATTTTTAGTTATACCATCTGGGTTTAAAATGGGTTTATTGTACAAAAAGTCACCCTTTTTTTTCTGTTCTATCATCTAGGTTTGATCTTTTTAGATTGATACATTAATTCCAAAATGGGTTTAAAATGGTTTTATTGTATAAAAAGTGATATGATCTAGGGTTTAAATCGACATTCTAGGATTTAAAAGAGATATGATCTAGGGTTTTCTATTAGGTTTATTGGGATTTTCAATCTGTGTAAAATATTGAGGCAATTGAATTTGTGGCTTATTTTTATTTCTTGTTTTTGTAACTCTGAGAACAAAAACTGAATCATATGCATTCTCACTTTTATTTTCTATTCTTTTTATTTCTGAGAACAAAAAACTTTAGAGCATTTATTTTTGAAAAATTTAGTCAAAACCCCTCCATTAGACCCTTATTTGGTGAAAAAGACAGCCTGATTTATTTTTCTTCATAAACCTCCCAAGGAGAAAACACATAATTGAGTAAGGATAAAGTAAAAAATATATATTTTTTCTTTTCTTGGACAATATTGTCAGAGTAACATATTAGAAATGACAATATTGCCAGAGTAACATGCTACTGTCAAATAGAGTAATTGTTAAACAGAGTAACATGTTACTGTTACTGTTTACATCAATTTCAATGGTAATATTTTTTTTTTTAAGAATTTCATAGTAAACATAGATCTTATTTGATAGATATTGATGAGAGAATTCTAAAAATATTAATTTTGTTAAAAATCGATATCTACATCAAAAATTATATTATTTTAAAGTTTAATATTTTGATAATAGTAATATTTGTTGAACTTTTCAAGATTTTTTTTTTTTTTTTTTTATGTTTATCTTTAATACATTAAAATTTTATTATGAGTGAATTTTGACTAAATCTCCATTTATTTTTCTTTTTGTTTCACTCAAACATGCAAATAGATATTAATATATATCATGGCAAGGTCTATATTGATAAATTACAGGTAAGGACAAAATTATGACCTGGGAAACCATGCTGACCCATATGACCAAGCGAAGGTTCAAAGAGTTTTTGTTCGACGAAAAAGAGTCACGTCGGAGGATTGCTCCGTCGACCAAAAACAGAGTGCCAGTCATATTTATGATTTGATGGATTTGTTTTGTTTGTACTCAACAATCAAGTTGATCTTATTTTCTATGTTAAAGTCTGATTTGTGTTAAATCATTGAGAGTAAATTAGAAAGTTATTACATTAAAATTTAAAATTTTCATAAGATTTTCTATTTGTGGAATCATAAATAATTTTTTTAAAATTTGAATTTTAAAATTTAAAAAAAAATACTTTCTAATAATTTTCATAAGATTTTTTATTTTTGGAGTCATAAATAATTTTAAAAAATTTGAAAATATCTGTTTGAGCTTTATTTTTTTTTCAAACTAATTCTTATTATTAAAAAATAAATAAAGTTCTTTAAGAAGAATAATACTTGTTTATATTTTTCAGTATCTTTATCAAAAAATGGCACAGACTCCATAAATTTCAACATGATATGTATAAGTTACAATTGAATTTTGATCCCAACATAAAGGCACGGGCATACACTAGTATTAAAATGAGAAGCATAAATTATATGTTTTTATCTCTTTAATTTCATCCAAAATTTGACAAGTTTAAATCTAATTTTATTTGATTTAAGATTTTGTGTTTTAACTTTAATTTGAACAATGTTCACTCTAGAGTTTAACGAAATTTTTTTCTAGTATGCAATGTATATCGTATGCAATCCTACCACGAGATTACATAAATTTTTACGAATTTATAAGTTACACACAATGGCCCTGTTTGGTAGAGCTGTGGGAAAGTGCTTATAGCTTATAACTATGAACATAAGCTGATTTCTGACTTATAAATTAGGCATCTTCTGCCCCACTCAAAGAATAAGCTGATTTCTAACTTCCAAAAAACTATAAGGTATAAGCTATAAGCTAAACCAAACACATCAAAATAGCTTAAATTAAACTGAAAGCTGAATAAGCAGCTTTTAAGCTGCACCAAACAGGCACAATACCTCGGAGCACTTTCCAAAGTTTAAATCCAATTTTAATTTGACTTAAAATTGTTAGTTTTAATTTTAACGACTAAATTAAAATTAAACTTAAAATATGAAATTAATATTATTCAAATTAAAATAATTAGAACTAAAACAAATTGTAAAAAGAAGAAATTATAAAAAAATCTCAAAGTTTAACCTTTATAATAAAATAAAATTGAGCTATTAATTTTGTCAAATTAAATCTCAATTTTTTTATTTGCTTTCAATTTAAGTCATCACAGAAAAAATATATTTTAATTATTAAACTCAATAAAAAAAAACTATTTTAGACATTTTATATATATTTATATTGAGTTTAATTACTTAATGAAAATAGACGAATAATTTATATTAAAACAAATAGAAAAATTAAAGCCTCAAGATTTATTTTATTATACAGTTCAAATTTTGCATATATATATATATATATATTTTTTTTTGATTTTTTTCAAATTTAAATTAAATTATGAGGGAAAAGCATAATATGCCCAAACGAAAAGGGACAATAGAAAAGAAAAGAAAAGAAAAAGAAATATATGGAGAGAGAAGCTGAAAGAGAAAGAATAAAGAAAGTGAGGGAAAGTTTTCAGTTTTTCGTCTAATACTTTTCTTTCTTTAGTTTTATGATGGAAAAGTCGTATAGAATTGACCACTAACCCCATTTTTCCTACTAGTAAATGAGACTTTGCTAAAAAGTTTACCCTAATAATCATCATCATCGTCTTCAGTATCCAATCAGTCTTCAAACTCACAATCAATCCGCTGCCATAAACAAGAACTAGGGTTTCAATTGCATCCAATTGGGGTACATGATCATAGAATTTGAAATTTCCATGGTATATATATGTACATATATATGAAGGTTTTGATCATTAGGAGTGTTTTGTAGCTTTGGAGTAGATGGGGGGTGGTGAGGACGAGATTGAGCTTGAGAGCCAAGACACAATATTCGTGGCGGTGGGAAAGAATGTGAAGGAAAGCAAATCAACGCTGTTGTGGGCAGTGAAGAGCTTTCCCGGGAAGAAATTATGTCTTCTTCATGTTCATGAGCCCGCACATTTAGTCACTCTCTGTAAGTCTGTGAATTCTATTCATAATAATTTATGTACACATACTTGAACCAAATTCTAGTTAATTGGTTCATTTTTGGAGGTTAATTGGTTTGTGAAATCAATACTTTTATGGGATTTAAAATCTTCTAATTTGTCATGTTCCAGATTGAAATTCGTACTGCTATTGTAGATGGAATTTTGGGTCTGGATTAGAATTCATAACAGTCAAAGTTTGCATTCCATTTATCTAATTATTATAGAAATGAGATACATTTGTGTTGCATTTAATTAAAAAGAATTGGACCCAATTCTGTCAAATTTTTTAGAAAGTGGAGCACAAGCTACCGGCATAACTTACTTAGTGCTGTGATGGTTGCATGTTAAATTGGAAAATAAACAACCAACATTTTCATTATTTGTTCAAGATCCCTGTCAACCAGATTGAATTCAAATGAATGAGGTAAAGAATGTAATGCAGCTTTTAGTGAAAACATGCTTATAAGTGAGCGATATTCCAAATTTTCTGGTGCTAAAAGAGAAAAAGAGCAGGCACTTTGAAGGAATGGCGTAAACAGTTATTTTAATTCTCATTTTTTTTTTTAATTTAATTTTTTTTTTTTGTTGCATCTATCTTATTTATTTTGATGACTCTAGTTAAAAAAAAAAAAAAAAAAAAAAAAAACACTAATATGCCTATTTTCTTTGCTTATTTGCAGTAGATGGAAAGTTCTCAGCCAACAAACTGAAACAACAGGCAGTCCAGGCCTGTCGAGAACTTGAACAGCAAAAGATGCACAAGCTTCTAAATCGATACCTTCTCATTCTAGCCCAAGTAGGGGTATTGTTTTTCTCATAACTTTCCACCAAAATGGCTTTGCTGCTGAAGTGTACTGCATTGTTATTATCTATGTAATAGCGACGTGTAATTACTTTTAAGGGCAGGGACTGTTTGAATTATAGAATACATGATCAAATTTTTATGGTTAGAAGTTCATTAAACTTGTTAATATTCTTATTTATACAAGGGTTCAGAGTCAAACGTAGTACAACTTGAAACTCCTGAAATAAATCTGTAGCTGTTCTTCCAATGATTTATGGTTTGCCTCTTCAGGTGCAGGCAGGTACAGTGTGGATGGAATTGGACAATGTTGAAAAAGGAATTGTACAAATTATTTCTCAGCATGATATCAGATGGCTTGTCATGGGAGCCGCAGCAGATAAGCACTATTCAAAGTATGAAACATCCACGACAGTTACTCAATATCTTTTAACTAACAGTAAAAAACAGAAGATCATAAATAAGTTCTGCAGGGATGTAAAGTACGCTGGCGCGTTCTTCATAACACATTAGGTTGTTGGCATATTTATTGGCATAGGTTATGGTGAATTTCAATGATCTTGCTGGGAAATCACAAACATTAATGCCTATGTGCCTGTTTAAGACAAGAAACTTCACATATTTGTTCTATTTTGTCATGTTCCGTATTACTAACCCAAACTCATCAAATGTAACTATTAGGAAACTGTCAGAGCCCAAGTCCAAGAAAGCAACCTTTGTGTCCCAGCAAGCACCAGCATCCTGTCATATTTGGTTCATTTGCAATGGATGCCTCATATATACAAGGTATTTGGGCATTTTAAATATGTATATATCTTTTTAAACTAAAATATGCTTACCGTGTTTTGCTTGGCCCACAATGTAACGGATAATGGTGAAAAGGGGTTCTTGGGGTTGACCTCAATTAGTTGGGACTTGAGCATTTCGACTTTTTGGTTGTTTACACGTATTAGGAGGTGGGGAGATACCCAAGAAACATCTTCGTCAAATTGATCTTTAGCTCCCTAGAAATTGATTTTATGGTTCATGCAGTCCATGTAATGCTTGTTCAATTGGCTAATTGATCAAAATTTTTTTGGATTGTACACATTGAGTATTTAAATTTCATCTTGCATTGTTAATTATTATTCATAGTGTTGGCATCATTCTCATTTCTAGTCTATGGTCTGTTCAATAGTGGCATTGGCAGTGCGTTCATGATCCGCAAGGTCTGATCAAATACTATGTATGTACACTGGTTGACCTAAAGTCAATCATCTTTGTGACAGCACACCTCAACTGCCTCGTTTTATCTAAAGTGTATTCAAGGTAGTGACAATTAAAATTCTCCCTAGAAGAACACCACATGCATACAGAAATGGACTTTTGTTACTGCAACGTGCAGTAGCACACATCCAGGCTTTGATCGAGTTGATGTCATTACACACTTCTTCTATTACAGTTCTGGTCCCCAGCAGAATAAGATCTGGTTTGGTCATCTTATGTCGTCTGTTGGTTAATTTTCCAACTGTATGGTTGCTTTCCCATAGACTTGGAAAGCCTTCTAAGACATAGTTTGTTCTGTCAATCAGACTTGTGGACTCTTTTTTGAGCATCAACAAAGGAAGTTTTATTAATAAAAAGGCATGAAACAAAGAGAGGACAAGGAGTCCTCGAACAATGAATCAGTCTTGTGGACTTAATCATTACTACACAACCTCATCAAGAAATTTAAGTCATTAAAACTGATTATTGATTAGTAGTTTAGTTTTCACTTTCATTTCTTATGTTGTCATCTTACAGTATGCTACTGTCACTTGTATCACATTGACAAATCCTGGGAGCATAGAAAATGTCACTGATGCAGAGATTGTTTTGCAGAGTTAAATACAACATCACATTCTGTTGAACATGGAGATAAATCTCAACTGAGGCTAAACCTGACTATTTTTCTTTTTGAAGGTATGATGTGCGAAGCATCATGACATTGTCTTCTTCAACGAGTAGCAGTGGCACAAATCTGCTGCAGTGTCATGAAGATGCAGATGAAGATACTGATGAACTGGTGGGAATGTCAAGGGGGTTCACTTCTCAGGTTTTGGTGCAGTTACCTAAGTCAATAGACACAGTGGTTGGTACTTTAGAACTAAACCCCTTGTCAATGGATGAGATAAAAGGGGATGATTCACCTTTATCCTCAGTGGACAAGTCCCAAGGCCAGCTTGATTGTTCAACATCTATTATTTTGCTGGTATATAGCACTGTTTTATATTAGATAATCATTTATGCTCTGTTTGTTTGGACAAAAAACATTTTCTGGAATTTTTTTTTTTGGTATTTTCTGGTGTTTGGTATAATTCATCAATGGAAAACATTTTCCATAGTCAATGGAAAACAAGCCTATTTGGGCAAAAAATATTTTTCACTTTTAAAAGATGGAAAACGTTTTCTAGACTAAAAGTTTACTAATGTCACTACACCACCACCGCAACTCTCACCTCCACCACCACACTACCATTGCCACCGCCACCGCCCACCATCACCGCCACCGTTGCCATCGCCACCGTTGCCATCACCACCGCTGTCGCCCCCACCACGTCCACGACCACCGTTCCACCACCACCACCACCACCTCCACCACCAAACATAGAAAAATGCTTTTTCCGAAAAACATTTTATGGAAAAAGTTTTCCGTAGCAAATGTTTTCCATTAGAAAATGCTTCTGCCCAAACAAACGGAGCATTAGTCAATCATATCTACTCTCAATACTTTTACTGCTGTGGGTTGAGCCTATATGAATTAGAAATGGTGCACTTATTAAAATATTTACGTGACAAATGAGTTGAAGAAGACTGATCTTGATTTGAGAAGTTTTCATATCTAGCACTCTAGACTTGATTGAACTCTCTCTAGTGAATTTCCAAGCCTTCCTAGTTAAATTTTTTTAATTAGTTTGTAATGTTTATGAATTTTTTGGGAAGGAAACTCCAACAAACAAGGTACTTTTGATATATATGATAAACTAGAGCACACTATGATAAATGCTGAAAATTCAAAGCAGAAAGCATTTGAAGAGCCAGTGAGGCAATGGAAATGTGAAGAAGATGCCATGGAGGTTATACGCAAGATAAAGCATGATAAAATATACTAGTCACTCTAAAAGTCTCTAAAGAGAGCTATTTGCACACCTCAAATTCTCTCAGTTCACACCATTTACTTAGTCCACACCACAATCAATTTGAATTATTGTTATTATTTTATTATTTTTTATTTTTCTCAATTCACACTATTAATTTTCAAATAATACCAAAACTACCTTATCTTCTCCAACTTTCAAATCCTAACCCTTGCGCATCAGCCAACCCCACCACCCACCACTGCCACTTCCACCTACATGCGAGTCTGATGTAGAGTATAAGAAGCTCAAGAAAGAGTAAATTCAAAGTAGAGGCGACATTTGGAACTTGGCATGATTTTAAAGAGAAACAGATAATAACCACGTATAATTATATTTCTAGTATTATTAGAGTCTTATTTTATAATTATTTTTATGATTTTTAGCATTTTTAAGGTTAGGGGTATTTTGATAATTTTCAAAATTTCCAAATATGGGTTTTGTGGGTTGCTCATGGGTCGTCTTGTGGGTTAAGTAATTTAATTAGTCTTTGTTTTGTTTTTTATTTGATCTTAGATTAGTTTTAAAAGTCCAAGATATTATGATAGTTTCATTTTTTGGTTATGTTATTTGATTGGTCTTTGTTCTGTTTCTTACTTAGTCTTAGATTAGTTTTGAGAGTCAAACAATAGTTTCCTCTTTTGGTTACAGTTGGTTTAGGAAGTCTTCTAATTCTATATGAAACCATGTAATTCTTATAATTTAATAAAATTGATATTTTTAGAGAATTTTCAGACCTTTTGAAGCTTCTTACGGATTGTGTGATGCAATCAAACCCGAAGTGTGGTGCCTAAGGAATTCTAGGTGTGATTCCTAGATTTGTCTTCTTCTTTCTTCTCTTCGTCTGTTACAATTTACTGTTCACGAGTCGCTGTTTACAGCTTCTTTCTTCTTCTTCTCTCCTGTTACAATTTACAGCCTCATAACAGCCTCTAAAACAGTGCCACAATCTCATTTTTTTATACTTAAACTCTTATCCCAACCAATACAAACCCTTCGAAACCCTATATTCTTATTGCGATTTCGGCTATAAAACCTAATGAAAATCAGCCCCAGAAAACCCATATTTGCTGCTGCCCAAATCGTCCTGCATCACCTCCTCTCCCCCTCCTTCCCAAGCATACCATCATAGATGCTGAAAATTCAAGACAGAAAGCATTTGAAGAGTCAATGAGAAGATGAAGAAGTGAGGATGCCATGGAGGCTATATTATGAGAGAAGATGAAAATGTGAAGATGCCGTGGAGGCTATATGCAACTCTCAGTCTCTAAAGGGGGAATCTATATGCACACCTCAAATTCTCTCAATTCACACTATTTACTTAGTGCACACCACAATCAATTTGAAAATTTTGATTTTTCTCAATTCACAACATTAATTTTCAAATAATACCAAAAATACCCTTATCTTCTCTAACTTTCAAAGCCTAACCCTAGCCCATCAGTCACCCCCACTAACCACCGCTGGTCTGTGCCACCTCCACCTCCATGTGAGCCCGCCACCACAGCACTCCTCGACATAGCAGCACCTCCCCACTCCGTCCCTTCCCCTCTTTTCCCCCTCCTCCCTCTGCTGCCTCCATCCAAAGTCCAGTTCATTTTTTCAGTCTTTGAATTTATGATTTTTAGTGTACAAACTCAGAAACAATGTTCTTCCTTTTACAACGTCGTGAGGACTAGGTTTCTCTGTTTATGATTTATGATTCCTAGTTGACAGATCTCTCAAGTTCAAATCATTTTGTGTCACTTTGTTCGTTTGGAAATTTGTGACAAAACCCATTGATCTTCGTGTGAGATGAGTATGATTTCATCTGTGAAGCAATCTACAGTGATCATCACTGGTTCTGACATTTTTCAGCAAAAGTCGCCTGTGCTAACGTGGTAATTCTCAGTTTTACCACTGCTCCTGACTGCAAAAAGTTGCCAGACTAGTTCTGTTGTCTCGATCACAAAACCCTTGTCTGTTTTGTCGATTGAATGTTTGGGGTCATTGAAAAGATTGTTGAGCTATGGAACGGGGGTAGCAGAGCAGTGGGTGTTCATGGAGGTGGCTAGTGGTGGTGGTGGTGGTCCAATGTTTTAAAAGGCTCTAGGCGCACCGAGGCGATAAGGTCTCCTATAGCCTAGGCGCGAGGCGCGCCTCACCAAAGTGAAGTGCAAGTAGTAGAAGAAAAACAAAATTATAAAATAGGCAAACTTTTCAACATAACAAATATATATAGAATTTCAAAAATCATGACCATTTTAGATAATCTTTAAATATAACGTTCAGTCTTCTAAAAATTAGAAATATAATATCCAACAAAAGATATAAAAGATGTAAAACATAGCATTCCATCTTTTATCACTTTCTGCTCTCTTTTGACCACATTTGGTTATTTTATATTGAAGAGTTTTGAATCCCTGTCGGTATGCCCACAAAAAAAGCACTTAATCAACAGTTGGAGTAGAAAATAGGTAAAGCCCATAAAGCCCACCCCTTGCGCCTTGAAAAAAAGCTCTCGCCTTAGCGCCTAAGCTGCGCCTTGCATATTGCGCCTCGCTTTGGCCTGTTCGAAGCGCAAGGCTACACCTCATTGCGCCTCACGCTGCGCGCGCCTTTTAAAACACTGGTGGTGGTGGTTGTGGCTGGTGGAATATGGAGCTGTGTATTGAGAGATTAAGGTCTAGGATTTTGTTCAAAAGAGTAATTTGCATGAGTGACAAAATCCTAATTTTTTTTATAGATAAAAGAAAATGGTGTGAATTGAGAGAAGGTGAGGTCTGCAAAGTATTCTTCTTTGGAAGGAGACATCTTCTGATATTTAAGTCTACTATGTCCCTGCACTCCATGCAAATTGCCCAAATTTAGTCGAGTTTGCTTTGTATGTCATGACAAAAAGTTTAACCCTCTGGTTGCAATGAAATACCAGCAGCGTAACAATATCCGATGTTAATTTATAGGTCTCCAAAGTAAGCTTTAACCTGTATGGTTAAGTTTTCAATAAAGAATTGTAAATTGTGTGTGCTATACTTATTAGAATCATCATCATAACAGAAAAATACATATCTATTGTCAAATAAATATTTTGAAATTGGCTCGCTTTAATCAATTTACACTAAAAAAATTACAGAAACCACTGATTTAATTTATGCAATCATATATTACCTTGTATCAGATACAGTAAATTAGTGACATTTTTCTTATGCAAGTTCCCTGTTACCGTACCTTGTTACAGGCTGAAGAATTAGAAATTTCATGCATGAAGGAGAAAAAGCAAAGCAAAGAAATGGAAGGAGTTCTGTCCAGACAAAGGCAAGAACTGGAAAGGATGAAGAATCAGCATGATCAATATACAAAAGAACTCCAGATAATCCGTGACCAAAAGCCAGTGCTAGAGAGCCAACTCATTGACTCTCATTCTATGGAGAAGGAGTTAGAGGAGAAGATCATTCAAGCTGTAAAACTGTTAATAACTTTTAAGGAAAAACGGGATAAGGTACAGATAGAGCATGAAAAAGCAATTAAAGAAATCAATGGATTAAGGAAATTAGTAGACGAGGATGCTGCAAACTTACAGAAGCTACAGTTTTTCGCATTCTCTTTCTCGGAGATTGGTGAGGCAACTCGAGATTTTGACCCATCCTGGAAGATTGGAGATGGGATATATGGGAGTGTTTATAAAGGGATTCTTCGCCATCTGAAAGTTGCTATTAAGATGCTGCCCTCTTGTGGCTCTCAAGGTCATGTGGAATTTGAGCGTAAGGTAAATACCAAAATTCTCGACATTAATGCATCTATATCCAAATACCTACTTGATCATTATGCAAGAAAAGGAAACCATGCCATTTGGAGAACTAGTGGTTAATTGGATTGAGGATGAAAGTTTTTATTTTGGTAGAATTGCAAGCATTTAAAGTTTTGAGTTACTGATATTATGGTGAATTTGCTAAAAGACTTGTGGTAGCTTCAACATTATCATCTTCCTCTTTAACTATTGTTGGATATTGAAACCAATTCCCAACATGGTTGGGTTATTAATTTTTTTTTTAGTTGTTTTCTATATTAATATGAGGAAGTTTATATTTTTCGAGTGTTTGATTGGCTAGGTTTGGTTTCTTAATTTGATTCGGGCTGTAGTGGTTGAGTTTATAGAAGTATGTATGAGTAATGATAATAAAAATACTGTTTGTGGGAGGCATCTCCTTGCGGCTGTGCCTCTGGTTGACAACTATTGCATATCACCATTAGTCCAGCTTGAGTCAATGTTCAATTATGCTCATGCATTCAGTTATTTCTTTGTATAGTGTATTCATAATAGTGCTCAATTGTTGGATATCCTGCTTAAGAGATCATATACCATTTTGTCGACAACTATTGCATATCACCATTAGTCCAGCTTCAGTCAATGTTTAATTGTGCTCACACATTCAGTTATTGCTTTGTAAAGTGTATTCGTAATAGTGCTCAATTGTTGGATATCCTGCCTAAGAGATCTTATACTATTTTTTTTTTTGCTGTCATTTCTTAGGTGATAGTAATTACTTGGCTTGTTTTCCCTTTTAAATTGCACTGTATCTTCCCACTTTAAGAGATACAAGCTAGCTAATAAAGAGGTTGAAAAAGGATAATTAGAAAGATGCTTAGTTAAAAGCTTATGACAATGTTTATACTAGATTTGATAGTAAAGATGGAGAAAAGAATATTTACAAACTTGCTAAATCAAGAGAAAGAAAAACAAGAAACTTTAATTGGGTTGTATAAAAAGTGAAGATTGAAGGGTATTAGTGAAAGACAGGGAGATGTGGAAAAGTTATTTTGAGAAACTGTTAAATGAGAAACATTTAGAAAATTTAAAGGGATATGAATACGATAGCATTGATACGAAATATAGATGTGATCGTCAATTAAGGGAGTTTGCGGTCACAGTGACACTGAAGAAGATGAAATTAAGGCATTAAGACCATATTGTATTCCTATTGAGGCTTGAAAATGCTTAGATAAGGAGGGTTGTGTCTTAGTTAACAAAATTCTAATGACTAGAAAAATGTATGATGAGTAGATTAAAAGTTTTTAGTGCTTATATATTAAAATAAAGGAGATATCTAAACCTGCTATAGGGGCATTAAGTTAATAAGCCATACAATGAAATTGTAAGAGAGAGTGATTGAACATCGCATAAGGATAACAATAATCGTGTTTGAGAACCAATTTAGATTTATGTTGGGTAGATCAATTATGGAAACAATTTATACTATGAAGATTAATAGAAAAGTACAGAAAGAGAAAGAGGGATCTATGTATAGCTTTTATAAATCTAGAAAAAGCTTATGATAGGGTTCTTAGATATATAAAATGGTGAGTGTTGGAGAAAAGGGTGTAACCAAAGGATATATGGATGTGATAAAAGACATGTCTATTGAAGCTAGAACTACAATTAGATCATTTGTAGGAGAAATTAGTGAGTTCCCAATCACTGTGGGTTGCATCAAGTATCTGCTTTGAGTTCTTACTTATTACCTTGGTCATGGATGAATTAACAAAACACATGCAAGATGACTTCCCATAGTGTATATTGTTCGATGAAGATATCGTTCTAATAGATGAAACTAAGGAAGGAATTAACACTAAATTATAAATTTGGAAAGGAATACTCAAGTAAAAAGGATTTAAATTCGTAGAAATAAAACTGAATATATGGGTATAACTTTAGCAACAAAGAAGTGGAAATAATAAAGTGAAAATTGAAAATCAGGAGATAACAAATAGTGAATATTTTTGTTATTGGTTTGGTTCTTAACAAGGATGGTGAGGTTTGAGATGATGTAATTCATATAATCAAAGTAGGTTGGCTCAATTAGATGAGTGTGTTTGGCATATTATGTGATCGATGAATACCAACAAAATCGAAAGGAAAATTTTATAGAACTGTTACAAGGCTAATGATGCAGTACGGAATAGAGTGTTAGGCAACTAAGAAAGAACATGTGTATAAAATGAGTGTAGTTGAGATGAGAATCCTTAGATGGATGTGATAAAACTAGAAAAAGATAGATTTAAAATGAACATGTTCGTGCAATGGTAGGAGTAGCAATCATCGAAGATAAGTTGAAAGAAAACAGGTTAAGATGGTTTGATCATGTACAACAAAGACTCGTAGATGCAACAGTAAGGAAGATGTATAGGATCACTATAAATGGAGATGGTAAGGGGAGTGGAAGACCCAACTTGACATATGGCAGTGAAAAGTAATTAGTTTGTTTAATTTAATTGGACACATTCATGTAGCTGACGACCCTACATGATTGGGAGACAATGCTAAGTTTGGTTTGGTAATGTGCCTGCTTTGCCTCCAATATCCAACAAAGAAAAAGATATTCGTTTTCCAAACCATCGAATTAGGTTTTTTTCTCTCTTTTTATATATATATATATATATATATAAACTAGGGATAATCTGTGCCTAATTCACTCTCAAAAATCGCAGTTAAATCAGCGAATTAGTCAAATCAAAGACGGTTCAGCCTAATTGACTAAGTCAAAAGACCAACCGACACAAATTAATTAATTTTTAAACATTATTTTAAAATTTAAACTGTCTTGAACTAAAATATGCATAACACTATACTATTAAATGGAATCATAAAATTCATGTTATATAAGTGAAACAACTCACTTTTTTATTCTTTTTCCAATGTGAGATTGTGTAAAATAGAAGTTAACAATTGTTTGGGTGGGAAGTTTATTTCAAATCAAGCTATCTGGCCGAGTTAGAAAACAAACCAACTCACACAAAAATTAATTAATTGAAAATTTTAAAATTTAAATTGTAATGAACTGAAATATGAACAAAAATACAAATATTAAATGGGAGTATAAGGTTCATTTTATATAAGTAAAACAACTTAATCATTCTTTTCCTGATGTGAGATTGTGTAAATTAAAAGCTAATAATTGTTTAGGTGAAAAGTTTATTTCGAATCAAATAAATTTAACCAATATATATTGATAAAACTGCTAAAATCACGGTTAAATTAGCAAATTAGTCAAACCGAAAATAATTTAACCTAATCGGCTAAGTCAAAAAACCAACTAATTTACACAAAAAATAATTAATTAAAACTTTTAAATTTTATTTTAAAATTCAAACTATCTTGAACTGAAGCATGTACAACAATACAATATTAAATGGGACCATAAGGTTAACTTTATATAAGTGAAGCAACTCACTTTTTTCTTCTTTTCTCGATATCATATTGTGTAAAATAAAAGTTAACAATTGTTTGAACAAGAAGTTTATTTCGAATCAAGCTATCCAGCCGGGTTAGAAAACCAACCAACTCACACAAAAATTGATTAATTGAAACTTTTAAAATCTAAATTGTATTGAACTAAAGTATGAAAAACACTGCAATATTAAATGGGAGTATAAGGTTCAATTTATATGAGTGAAACAACTCACTCAATCATTTTTTCCCTAATAATTGTCTAGGTGAGAAGTTTATTTCGACTCAAACAAATCTAATCAATATATTTTGATAATATTGCTAAAATAACGGTTAAACTAGTGAATCAATCAAATTGAAAACGGTTCAACCTAATTGGCTAAGTTAAAAAACTAACTAACTTATACAAAAATTAATTAATTAAATCTTTTAAAATTTAAATGCACAACAGGGCAATATTAAATGGGACCATAAGATTCACTTTATATAAGTGAAACAATTTACTTTTTCCTTCTTTTCCCGATATGGGATTATGTAAAATAAAAGTTAACAATTGTTTCGGTAAGAAGTTCAGGCAATCTCTGCCGTTCAATCTTTAATTAGGTCAATCCACACCGTTCTAAGCAATTGTATCTCTTAGATATTTTTGAAAACCATCCTGTTTTATTATACAGATATAAATATATTTTTTTGTGGTTAAATTCTGATTCATTTTTCAAATGTCTTTTCTTATGTCACTGGAGATCTTTTTAGGCTCTATAGGATGTAGTTTAAAGATTGAAGAATATAATTGTCAGGATCTAAGAGAACAATCTTTAAACCTGAAGTAATTTTCATGGAAGATAAGGCAAATGGGATTTGTCCCTGGTTGGCAACTAGGGAAAAAAAAAAAAAAAAAAAAAAAAAAAAAATTGGCAACTAGGGAAAAAAAAAAAAAAAAAAACAAACAAACAAACAAACAAACAAAAACACTGTAGTTTAGTCTGACTGGGTAGTTTGATGGCAACTAAACTGTATCCAAATTTTATTAATTTTAAGCACGATTGTAAGATCTGCTTGATGTCATATTAGCTCTGATACAAAAGTGCTATGTCATGTCCTGGATAGCTTGTGTTTTCCTTGACAAAATTGTCAGTTTCTTTGACTGTGCCTCTGTTGGTTTGAATACAGGCTTGGGTTTTGAGTAAGGTGAGGCATCCAAACCTTGTAACCTTGATTGGAACCTGTCCAGAGTCTAAGTCACTTATTTATGAGTACCTTGGAAATGGAAGCCTTGAAGATCACTTTGCCTGCCAGGGTAAAACTCCCCCTCTTTCATGGCAAACGCGAATAAAAATTGCTAGTGAGATATGCTCTGTTCTTATCTTCCTCCACTCCAGTAGGCCTTGTATCATTCATGGGAATTTGAAACCCACAAATATCCTCCTTGATGACAACTTTGTCAGCAAACTCAGTGATTTGAGTGTCTATCGTTTGATTTCCCAAGATGAGAACCAAACTTACATGACCACATTATGTGATAAAATTGCCCCTGAGGGCTCAGTGTATATGGACCCACAATTTCTTGAGACTGGAGAACTTACTGCAGAATCTGATGTGTACTCATTTGGAATTGTACTATTGCGGCTTTTAACCGGAAGACCAGCGTTAGGGGTAGTGAAAGATGTGAAATGTGCACTAGAATGGGATAATTTTAATACAGTGCTGGACCATTCGGCTGGGGAGTGGCCACTTGAGGAAGTGAAAACTTTAGCTCGCTTGGCATTGAGGTGCTGCGAGAATAAGCTGGAGGATCGGCCAGACCTTGTGTCAGAAGTACAAAGTGCGATCGTGTTGATGAGGGAATTAAGCACTTCATCAAACCTTGACTACAAGGGTCCTCGCCGCATTCCCTCTCATTTTGTTTGTCCCATTTTCCAGGTAACAACCATCCAATATTATGAATGTTTTATCCATTTGTATGCTCATTTTCTTTATGGAATTGTCACCATGTACTATTTCAGAGTTTGGTTACTATTATACATCATTGTCATTTTCCCAATCACCAGTTACACACTGCTCTGCATGTCTCATAAGATGTTCCCATAAATTTCTTATAGAGACAGCTGAAAAGGTTGGTTAGCAGAATTTTCTTCTGCCTTCTCCATTAAAACGATGTCTGTGCTCTTCATATACTAAGTGAATGTGCAGCTATGTATGTATAACCATGATTTCTGTTAAAGCTATGATTTATATTCATTTTTCGCCCTTCTTGTCTCTGCTGTTTTTTGGTATTTAAATATGCAGGAAGTCATGAAAGATCCACACATTGCCGCAGATGGTTTTACATATGAAGCAGATGCCATAAAAGGATGGTTGAATAGAGGCCACGATACTTCACCATTGACAAATCTTAAACTTGACCACTGTGATCTGCTCCCCAATTATGCCCTTTACTATGCTATTCAGGAATGGCTGCAAAATTCCTAATTTTTTTTTTTTTTGATGTGTTAGTTTTACACATATATGAATGCACATTTTGTATACTTTTACATAGTAAAAGGTGAAATCATGATTTCAAGTTCAATACCAAAAATTTTAAGAATATATGCAGGGTGTATATATATGTATTGTATTACCAACTTCAAAATTTTCAGTTGTCTTTGTGGAGTGGTGTTTGGTATATTGTTTGAAAAGAGATGGATGTGTCGCATTTGAGTAACAATGCAGAACAGACTCCCGAAGAACCACCAGCCAATTCAGAACAATCTAACCTACAAGACTTCAACTCTGACCCACTCCAATCCAAATTGTGAAGGGCAACTAAAATCCAGCTGTGCAAATCAATGACAAGACCCTACTTGACCTTTTGTTGGAAAATTGTTTGGTTTGGTTTGGTTTTCAAAAACGGTTTTTTCTGTTTTTTGTTTTTTTGATATTATTATTTTTTCAAAGTAAATTTCTTTCAGATGTTAATCAATTTTTTTTATTATTTAAATGTATTTGATCTGGATGCTCATGTGAAGCAATCTGAATTTATTTTTTTACCAAAGATTAAAAAAATACAAAAATGTTTTTTTTTATTTTTTATTTTTTATTTTTTGGCTGCAACAAAGCATAAGGGCATACCTAGATTGCGATGGTGGCGTCATTCTCGGATTGCGACGGTGGCTCAATACACCATACAAACCTAAACATGGTTTTTTATTTGGGACTACACTTTTTTTTTTTTGTTTTTCATGCAGATTAAAAACACAATAGTTTTTAAAATAAAACCAAATGCCACAATGCATGTTTTGAATAAATGAGACCAAATCCATTTATTAAGAATAAAATAAAATAAAAATCATATTGCAGTGCTATGAGCGGCCTTGGGTATGATGATGTGAAAACCGGGATGAGGTACCTACTGCTCTACAAGCGCAGCAGGATTTGTTATGTGAAAATCGGGATGGGGTACTTGCTGCTCTTCAAGCGCAGCAGGATTTGTTATGTGAAAATCGGGAGCAGGATTTGTTATGTGAAAATCGGGATGGGGTACCTGCTGCTCTTCAAGCGCAGCAGGATTTGTTACGTGAAAATCGGGATGGGGTACCTGCTGCTCTTCAAGCGCGGCAGGATTTGTTGTGCCATCAAAACGGCAGCGCTTTGCTGCTGAACATCATTATATCATCAAATAATGATAAATATCTATAGATTATATGCCATTGCATGTGGACAATAAAAATAGGTAGTTATACTCCAATAAATATCAATGTCAAAAAAAAAATATATATATATATATAAAATCTTATTTGACTTTTTTAAAAATACCAAAAATACAATAATCAATACATACACCTTAAATCCCAACTCATATGCATTCTCAAAAATAAAACAAAAAATGTGTCAATAAATTTTTTCCTTGCATTACATTTAATTTTGTGGGGTATTTGTGAATTATCAAAAAATAAAAATAAATAAACACTCAACTTGTTTGGTTTTGTTTCCATTTCCGTTTCTTTTTTATTTTTTAAGAAAACTAAAAACTAGTTTGGTGAATAAAAGGAACAACATAAAAAACACTCATCATTTTTATGCTTTTTTTCTTTTTTGGAGCGAAAATAGTTTTTGACAATTTAAAACTATTTTTTTGTATTTATTTTTGTCAAACTAATTTATACTTTAGAAAATAAAAAGTAAAAAACAGATTTGAAACAAAACCAAACAAGGAACTATCATTGCAAAAACTAGCAATAGCAAAAAAGGAAAACCAAGAAGAATAACCAAAAAAAAAAAAAAGAAAAAGAAAAAGAAAAATCAACAGCAAAGCGCTACTGTTTGGCAACACAACAAATCCTGCTGCACTCCCCAGCCCCTGAAAACCGTGAGAGGTGTTGAGGTATTGCAATATGGTAGTCTCTAGTAGGGTTGTAAACGAGTTGAGTCGAACCAAATTTTACTGAATTCGAACTCACCTCATTTGCTTATTGAGCTCATTTATTGAGTTTGAGCTCAGCTTGATAACTAATTAGGTTCGAGTTTGGCTCGCTTGATAATATTTATGAAATTTAAGTTCGGCTCGGTTCGGTTCGGTTCACCTCGATAAGATTTTTTTTATTATTTATATTATTTAAATAAATAATATTATTTATATTATTTAATATATAAATAATATATTTATTTAATCAATTTAAATAAAGATAAACAATCTGAGCTTAACTTGACGAGCCGAGCTTATTCGAGCTTGAGCTCAGCTCGTTTACTAAACGAGCCTAATATTTGAGCATGAGCTTGGCTTGTTTACTAAACGAGCCAAGCCGAGCTGAACCAACTCTCGAACAGCTCGGTTCGTATGCATGCAGTCCTATTCTCTAGGAAGTAGTATCTTGGGTTGACCATATTTGTGGGAAGATCAAGTAAGTGTTTGATTATATCAAGATCAGATTTAGAAGTGCATCATCAATGGATGCAACAACAAAAAATTTATTGGCAGCAAGGAGGGTGATTCTAATTAAGGCGGTCGCACAAGCCATTCCAACGTATGTCATGTCATGTTTCCAACTAGCTCAAGGGTTGTGCAGGGAAATAGATTATCGCTACTGGTGGGGTTGGAAGGAATAGACGAATAAGTTCCATCGGAAAAACTAGGGCAGTCTCTGAAAATCAAAATGTAAGAGTTGAATGGGGATTCGTTCCCTAATAGCTTTTAACAAAGCTTTGCTCACAAAGCAAGGATGAAGGTGTTGGAAATGGTTATAAAATTCTGGATAAAATCAGAATTTTTTTCTAAGTTCGGTCTATTTTTTAGGTGGCCCCGAGTGTCGATTTACTCGAGTCAAAGTGGTAACGCGTTCTATGCCGCGTTGTGATTCACGTGGTATATTTGGTTGCTCAAAACCATTACCGAGTGAATGGGAAATTGAAGCCAAAGTGTGCTCCATAGAAATGGAGTTTTGGTGGAAATTCCTTAAGGTTGTAAATTGGCTTGTCCCACATTGATTTGGTGGGAAGGTTTGAAAGGGTTTATAAGGCTTAGGATGAGATACTTGGGGTGTGCCCCAAGGGGTACCCAAGTGTTTTAGAGGGAGAGGTTATGGGCTAGACCCATTGGACCCAAAAATCACCACGCGCCGCCGCCCGTCCGGTCGGGCGGGCTGGGCTTGGGCGTGGGTGTGTGCTTCTAATCTTTTTGGGCCAAAAACATTTGAATTTTATTTTATTTTTTATTAAAATAAAATCCAAAATTCAAATTAAATTGGTTTAGATTTTTTGTTCATCCAAACAGGGCCCTTCCCGTTTTCAAACAGAATGTTAATATTAATAAAATTCAAACTTAGTTCGGCTCAGCTCGATTCGATAAGATTTTTATTATTATTATTTATGTTATTTAATACATAATTTTGTATTTATATTATTTAATACATAAATAATGTATTTATGTATTATTTAATATATATGTATTATTTAATATATAAATAATATATTTATTATATAATTTAAATAAAGATAAATGAGCCCAACTTATTGAGCTCAGGCTTGTTTACTAAACGAGTCAAGCCGAGCTGAGCCAACTCTGGAACAACTCGGTTCGTGTGCAGTCCTATTCTCTAGGAAGTAGTATCTTGGTTGACCATATTTGTGGGAAGATCAAGTAAGTGTTTGATTATATCAAGATCAGATTTAGAAGTGCATCATCAATGGATGCAACAACAAAAAATTTATTGGCAGCAAGGAGGGTGATTCTAATTAAGGCGGTCGCGCAAGCCATTCCAACGTATGTCATGTCATGTTTCCAACTAGCTCAAGGGTTGTGCAGGGAAATAGATTATCGCTACTGGTGGGGTTGGAAGTAATAGACAAATAAGTTCCAACGGAAAAACTAGGGCAGTCTCTGAAAATCAAAATGTAAGAGTTGAATGGGGTTTCGTTCCCTAATAGCTTTTAACAAAGCTTTGCTCACAAAGCAAGGATGAAGGTTGTTGTGGCATCCAGCTAGAATCTGTGTTGGCATGGATATTGAAAGCTGAATACTTTCCTACATTGATTTTTTAGAGTGTTCAATTGGGTTCCAATCCGTCTTTTACTTGGAGGAGTATTCATAATGTGAATCCCCTTTTAGAAGCAGGTTTAGGATGGAGGGGTGGATGGGTAACAGGTTTAAGTGTTACATGCAGGGGAGGAGACAAATGGGTACCCAGACCATACATTTTCAAGCATATTAAACCTCCCTCCTTCTTCATTCCCTTTGGATGCAACAATGAATGATCTTATTGGTAATAGTAGTAAGGGGTGTTGGAATTGGGAAGTTGTATCTGTATGCCCCTATGGCGTTATACGAAGAACGAATTATTTGCTGTTAGTTAGGCATATCATTTGGAAATGGTAATCCGTGTAAGATGGTTCTATGTAGCTAATTTCTCTGATGGGGGCCTGGCTAGCTGCTAACATAATTTGGAAGAAAATTTGGCATTTGAAGGTCTCACCAAATGTAAGGAAAAAAAAAAAAAATTGCATATGGAAAGCATGTTCTAACATTGTGCCGGTGAAGGGGCTGCTATAGTTACAAGAAAATTCAAATGGATGATGTTTGCGAGCTCTGTCTCTATGAGGAAGGGGCTAAAACTTTGATCCATTGCTTAAGTGATTGTCTGAAGGTAAGACAGGGTTTGGAAGAATGATAGCCCTCTACAGGTGCTCGAATTTGACTCACCGGTCCATGCAGTTTTTGTACAATGGGTGGGCTGTGTGTATAGTTTGATCTTGATGATACTCTAGGTTTGTTTTTCATGATATGTTGGCATGTTTTGTTGGCACTCAAATTACTCGCAGAGCCTATGAAGCATTTATGAGACTTTGAAGGAGAAGCCAAATAGAGAGGTGGAAGGTCTGCAAAAGCAGCAAAATATTTGCAGGTGGATTGCATCAATGGAAGGAATTCATAAAGTTGAACTTTGATCCCCAATTATATCTGCTCTTGCTTTGAATTTGTAATTGGTTTTCAACCTCTTCCCAATATTTAAAAAAAGGTAAATTACAAATACATCCTATGAGATTTGCTTAAAATACGAATTGTCCCCTGTAGTTTGGAAAATTACAAATACCTCCCTGTCATAATTTTTTATTTAACAAAATTAATTGAAAAAGTAAAATTTCTAATTGTTCACCTAT